GGCGGGGCGAGGTCGTCGATCACGTCCGGGGCGACGTGATCACGTGATCGATGCTGCGCTACACAGACTCGCTGGTATTGCTGATGCCACCCCGCGGCCCCCCCGCGCCGCTCGCAGAGTTCCTCGCTACAGGAAATAAATAAATAAAACAACGCAAAAGCGACTGCTACAAGCGTGCGAGTTTGACGTCCAGGGAAATCAAACGGCCAAAAACTTTTCGACAAAACGGACAGGTTATTTTCGGACGACGCGGGCGATACGGGCATAAATCTCGTTCTGCTGCTGCTGATGCTATACCAGCCACCCGAGTGGAAGGCAATATGGAACCTGCTGCAGGGGCGTCCGCCTACACGGCCGATGAGGGGGCAGATAGAAGAGGGGGAGAGTGAGGAGGCGCCCACGTCGCGGCCGCAAACAAAGACATTCTAGCGCACCCCGCCGTCCCTAGCCGCCCCCCGTGTGTTGGGGGTTGGCGACGCTTATCGCCCGGCCCGCTGCCGGCGGCGCGGCGGGGAGAGCACGCTAGGGGGAGAGAAGGGCGTTGATACAGTAAACAGGCGATGCGAAATCACTCACTTGCGCCCCGAGCGAGGCCGCCAGGCGCCACACCACGCCCCCACCCCCGCCTCCGGAGTAAGTAAAGACATTTTACACGAGGCAACGCGCCGTAACGGAGCTAAAGGGGTGTTCCCTGTTTCCCTTCCCCCACCGCCGAGCCGAGACCGCGCCCCGCCCTGGGAGCGGCGGCTGCTTTGGATCCGGATCCGGAACGGCTGGTTATTGCCATGGGCGGGAGGAGGGGGGTACGGAGCAGACTTATCCGAGCAAAAAAGTTAGAAATCGGAGAAGAGGCAAGGGGGTGGGGTGGGGGTAAAGTCCCCCAGGCTAACGCATTCAGGCGCAGGCGCGCGCGGGCACCGGGAGGCGCTCCGTGTTTCCAGCGGCGGAGGCTCAGTTGTTTACGCTCCAAACTCTGCCTGGAGCCGGAGCAAACTTACTCCCCTTTGGGGGCGACACATGTGCAGGGGTGGGGGTGGGGGGCTACCCCTCCACCCGCGAATCCCATCGGAGTGGAGTGGAAGAAAAAGAGGAGTGGCCGCTGCTTCTGCAAACACACGCGGACCTCCTCAGGAGTATGAGGAGGGGGTGCCCAGCCCAGAGGGGCCAGGGGGGCGCTGTCCAGTCCAGTCGGCCCAGACGGCTTCACGACGAGCCCCGCTCTGCTCTGCTCAAGTTACCATTCCAGCGCAAGTCGAGGGCGCGCGACTCCATGAGATGGTATCGGAGAGATTCAATTCATGGCGACGGGGTCCACGGCGGGGTCGCTCTGAAGGGGGCGTGGTGGGGGAGGGGGCGGGGTGGAGGTCTTTGACCGGGGGCAGCGACTGGAAGCCTCGCCCCCCGGCGTCCACCCCAGCGATAGCGCGGCGCTCCAAACGAAGGTGTACGTATCCCGCTGGGACATCTCCCTATTCAACGGCATTGATGGAAAAATGAAAAGGGGGAAAGAAAAAGTTATTAAAAACAGCCCTGCGATTACAATCGGCATCTCCGAGCGAGCTCCGCGAGCCAAGCGAAACAGCGCGCTCCCTCTCCGGGCAGCGTCATACGGCGTGCGGCGTCCTATCTCGGCCTGGATCCGGTTCGCTTTGATATGTGAGGCAGTGGGTCAGCGACCCTCTCTGGCGCACGTTACGTCTGCAGGCCGGGCGGGGCGGCCCTGCAGGAGGCTGGTTAGGGGTGCGTGGCGCGGGCGGCGGCGGGCGCACCCCTCTCCGCCGGCGCCCAGCCCTCCCCGGGGCTACCCCCGCCCTTCCCTGCCTTGCCCAGCCCTTCAACCCTCCGACTGACTTCACTCTAATAACGACGCTAACGAATCGCTGCTGCTGCTGCTTGCTCCCCCCCCC